CAGCTATTGTCCACAGAAAATGCTTCTAAGTCATTTTTAGTTTAATTTCTTAGTTTATTTTCAATATATTTTGAATAAAAATTTTAAATTATTATGTTGTTGATAGTTGAAAAGAGTTTTGGTAGCACATTAGAAGAAGAACCATCTAATGCAAGTATGTTGAAGAAACTAAAGTAATCACTTTTCAATATGAATAAAATCCAATTTTGGATTGTTGAAAAGAAATTAATTTAAAAGTTAGAATAAAAACATAAATTATTTGTTGATTAATAAAACACACTAATATTTCCCTCATTTTTCCTTACTTCTGATAAGGAAGATGCTAATCCATAAGTTAATTTATGAAGCTCTCTAGAGCTTTTTCTTAAAATTTGCATAGACTTACTTTTTGGTTGTTTAGACAATAAGTTCTTCTCTTCTTCATGAGGGACTGGTGTGTCAACGTCTTTATTTAATGTTTCAAGTTTTTCATTTTTCTTTTGAGGTTCAGGTGGTAATTTAGATAATCCTACTCCCATTAATGTAATACTTTAATGAATGAAATAAATGAGATTCTTGGCTTTAAATAAGTAATTTGAGGAGTAACAGAGGAGTGATTTTGAGCACATGATACTTTTAGTAGAAAGAATTGGAAGATATTCGTTTAATAGGTTAGTACAAAAATAGAATGAATCAATAAATGTAATAAAATAATAATAATTGAATAGAATATCATAAATTTCCCTTCATACTAAAATCATAAATTGACGTTAACAAAAAGATAAGAAGTAAATTAGTTTTAATTAAATAATTTATTATTTGTAGACAATTTGAAAGGAACAAATTTAATACCATCACCAAGATAAAATTTGTTTTGGAATTCTACCCAATGAAGCCTTAATGTATGAAGGAATGCAGAAAGTGATTCCATTCCAATAAGAATACCAAGAGTAATTAATGCAAATAAAGCAAATCCAACAAATGTTAAGAAGAAATTGTTAAATTCAAGAAGAGTATAAAATACATATTCTAAGAAAACAGAACCTAATTGAGCATGGGCTAATGATAATGCCCATAAACGAAGATAAGAAGCAGTATTAGAAATACATCCAAGAATAAATTCAATAGCATGAATAGAATTAAAAATAACAATTTCTAATAAACTATTACCATTTTCATCATCTGGATCATATTTTATTCTAATCCATTCTTTTTCATCAAATGTATAATTTGGATTTTTTTTCTTAATTAATTTAAGAATTTTTGAAATTTTTGATTCTTCTGAAAATAAATTCTCTTTTTTTATTGACTTATTTTCATTTCCTAATAAACTTACTCTATCTTCATTTTCAAATTGTTCTTGCATTTCTTCAATATTATTATTTGCTACAATATATCCATCATTTTCATTTGGAAGATATGGAATGTCATTATTTTCTTGTCTTATGTCCTCAGTAATAAAATCATTATTTTCTTGATTAAATGGTTGATAATAATTGTCTTGACCTTGTCCATTTTCACTTCTTTTTTGATCTTTCTTTTTTAATACATAGAGAAGAATTGGTTTTGGAACCATCATTGCAATAACTGACAATACTGTGAATATAAATAATATTGGTTCAATAAAACTTTGTCCCCAAAACATATGATTTGGTTCTGTTACTATTCCAAAATTTTGGAACATTTCTAAAAAGACATTTGTTATCATTGGTGCATCTTCAATAAAATACATCCATTTAATAAGAATTAAAAAGCAAAGATATCCAAATGTACAACTCATAAATATTATTTCTGGAAGAAATTGAAATACTACATTTATTAAATTCTTATAATGAATATGATTTATCAATGAAATCCAAATTCCTATTGTCATGTGTGCTACTCCAATAAGAATTGACAGTTTCATTTTTAATGAATTGTAAAAATATAATTCATTATTAGATGATTTCCATATTGGATCAACACCAAATGGATAAACATAATTTGGATTACTTCGTTCATAAAATAATCCATTCTCTTTATTCCAGGATGTTCCAAATAAGTCAATGGCAATTCCAAAAAATTCATTATATAAAGCACCACAATAAATAGAAAATAACCCCATTAATAAAATCATCCACCGTGCTCCAAATAACATATCAACTATTTCATTTCTTTTTGTAAGTTCAATTTTCTTTTGGAATATAATCATTATAAGAGCAAATAAAAAAACAATAATACCATGTCCTATATCTCCAAACATTACTCCAAATAAAAATGGGAATGTAATAATATATAGAAATCCTGGGTTAACTTCTCCATATTTTGGAATACTATAAGAATCACAAAGATCTTGTGAACATTGACTGAATGAAGTAGTTGGAATGTATGTTGGTGGAATAGCATTTGGATGTGGTTGAATAACTCCAAATAATGGTTTGACTGGTCCTTCTATTTCTTCTAATACTCTATTAATTTCACTAAATTGGTCTGTTGGAAACCATCCTTCTCCACATAAATGAGAATGTCCTTCATCAACATAAAACATATTAAGAGTAAAATAAACTTGACGTTCTCTTTCAATAACTTCATTCCAAATATTAATGTCACTAGCAATTAAACGAAGGCATTGTCTTTTAGCTTCTAATGCTCCATTCAATACTTCTGTTAATTCATTTAATTCTTGTATTTTTTCATTAACATAATTTGTACGTTCAATAACATCAATTGGCATTGAATCAAAAATTCTAGCTGAAGACGTTAAACATATTTGATTTAATTTATTTAATACTTCATCTCCTTGTATAAACACAACAAATCCTGTTTTTCTATTATCAATTGGTGCTGATCTTGTAACAACAAACCCACGAGATACTCTCCAAATAACCATTCTTAATGCTTCCCATTTAGATGTATCTATAGTCCCAATAAGATACTTCAATGACTGTGCAGTTGTTTGGTCAATATCCTGACCAATTAATTCATTAATGTGCTCAGATAATGAAATAGCTTCACGAATTCCACTAACTGCACGCTCAGCTGCAGCCACATCAGAAGTTAATTGTTTGAGGTCATTATCAAATGTTCTTATTTTTAGTATTAATTGTTCAGAACTTAATTCAGATTGTTGAGCATCGGCTGTTGCAATTGGCAATAAATCTACAGCTAAACTATTTCTTTTAAATACTTTATTAAAACCATCTCTATTTTCTTCAAATGAAATAGTTTCTTCAAATATTCGAATAATTCGTTCTATTTCTTCACATCTTTTAATTTCATTTATAAATCTTCTATCAAAACTTGCTAAATTATCATTAAGATCTATAAATTGAATTATTCCTAATTTTCCAATTCTTTCTATAGTCTCAATGGCAATATTTGATGGAACAATAAGTTGCCCTAATGACATGTCTTTCCCCCTAAACATTTCTCCCATATTTTATTCAATAAATCTTTCTATTTACTTTTTAGTTCCTTTTTTAAGTTCATTGATTATTCATTTTCTATCGATTTCTAAGACGTTTTGTTTCTTCTTTCAATTCCTCATTTTTTTTTATGCTTTATATAACGTTATTTACCATTAAAAATGACAAATTCTTTGAATAAATAACAAAAAATAATAAAAACATAAAAATACCATTAAAAATAAGAAATAAAAAAATTGTTAATTATGAGAACAAGTTTTACGAGAATCATCAAGAAATTCATACCCATAATAAAACTCTTTCCCAAACATAATTTGTTCACGGGCTGTTTGTTGAAAAGTTTCTGATACAAATGAAATCATATCTTCACCAATAGTTTGTATGGCAATAGAATCAAGCATTATCCCTAAATGGTCATTCCAAAGTTGAGTAAATTTAATTAGTTGAACTGTCTCAATACTCTCTTTTGACCTTTTTGTTTTAATTTGAAATCCGTCTTTCTTTAATAACTCCATTAATTGATTACAAGTAAGAGCAATCCTATTTCTTTGAGTATATTTCATGAGTTGATTATGTGTATACCTTCCATCATTTTCTTTTTCAGATTCAAGTAATTTGCATCTACTCTCCAAGTCCATTTTAAAATTAATGAAAGTGTTTCCACGTTGAAGTGATACAACCGTAAGAAAGGGTAATGATTTCTTTGCCATTTTTGGTTTTTTTAAAACGATATTATATCCCATTGATATCAGTAATCTTAACAAGGTCCCTTGAATTTGTGACTCAAATGATTTGGACTTTCGTTTTGATAAGAAAAATGGTTTTCTTCCTTTATTGAGTAATGGTGGTTCATCAGAGTCTTCTGGTGGTGGTTTAACTTTATCACTATTTGAATCTTCCATATCGTTTCTGGCTTAAACAAAATTAATCTGAATTTTTCTAGATTATTTTTTTCACTTTTATTTCTTCCTCAACTCATTTTTATAAATCTTAATATAAACTATTAAATAAAACTATTAAATAAATTCATTTTTAAAATATTCTTGAGTTTTTCATACTTTCAAAAATTTTACCAAACTCAACGAAATTAGAATATTGGAAAGAACTTGAAACTAAATAAAAAGATTAGTTCAAAACTATCCTGTCTTTTTCAAACCAAAAATTTAAGAAGTGTGTCATTCTTTTTGTCATAGAAAAATGAAAGACAAAAAAAATAAAAAAAAAAAAATGAAAATTATTTTTCTAATAAAAAAAGGAAACAGAAGGAATTTTTTTTGAAAGAAAGAAAAAAATTGAACTGTATTTAATTACAAAATGAATATATCAACAGAACAAATAGACCCTTTAGATAAAGAAGCAAAACAATATAAAAAATATTCATTCAAAGAAAAGAAAAAACTAAAAACTATCGCTGGAGGGGCATCTGATATTGGTGTACGTCCAGCAAATGAAGATACATTCCGAATTATTCCTAATGCCCAACAATTAGTACCAATGAAAAAAAATAAAAAAATGGGATGTGAATATTATGGATTATTTGATGGACATAATGGATTAGAAGCATCAAAATTTTGTGCTGAACTTATGCATGAAGAAATATTAGAAGATCCTGACTTTGTTAATGGATATTATGAGAATTGTATGGTAAATGCATATTATAGAATGGATTGGTTATTATGTAATTATCATATTAAAGATAATAGTGGATGTACCTCAGTTACTGCATTAATACAAGGAAGGTATTTAGTTGTAGCAAATGTAGGTGATAGTGAATGTCTTGTTATTAAATGTCGTTATTCAAATGAAGTTGAAGTATTAACGTATAAACATACAGCAAAAGATGAATCAGAAAAACAACGTATGAAATCTAAAGGAGGAATAGTTTTTAATGGTAGGGTATATGGTTCTATGGTTGTTTCTCGATCATTAGGAGATAAAACCTATAAAGTTTGTATTTAATTTAGTAACAAATATATAATTTAAATACTTAATTGATTTAATGAAATACTTAAGCTTTAGGGTAAAGGAGTTGTTATTCCTGAACCTTATATTAATATTTATGAATTAACAAGCGATGACAAAATTATTGTATTGGCATGTGATGGCGTGTTTGAAAAAATGTCATATGATGATGTTATGGACTACGTTTGTACACAAAAACAACAAGGAAAAAATCCTCAAGAAGTTGCAAGAAATTTAATTCAAGAAGCAATAGCAAGAGGATCTAAAGATAATGTTACGGCTGTTATAATATTTCTGAATTGGTGTTAGTTTGTATCTAATTAACTTTTCCCTTAAAAAGAAGTTCTTGGAAGAAATTACAACCAACCAAATGAATTTCATTTTTTGTTCTTCTTTTAGTCATATGAGAATGAACGTATTGTTCTATATTTACATCACCTTAAAATAGGCTTTTTAAATTGAGATTTTTCTAAAAATTTTCAGTTTTATTTTATTTTATGGTAGTTTTGTTCTTTTTTTTTAAGAAATTTTTGTTTTATTAAATTTTTTTTTTGTTTAAATGAAAAAAAAAAAAATTAGAAGAGCTAAAAATATTTAAAAAAAGGAACTAATAAAACTATTAAAGGTGAAAGAATGAGCGGATCAGAAGAATATGATTTCCTTTATAAAATAGTATTAGTTGGAGAGAGTGGAGTTGGAAAATCCAATTTACTTTTAAGATTTACAAGAAATGAATTTGATCCAGATAAACGATCAACTATTGGAGTAGAATTTGCTACACGATCTATTAATTATTGCGATAAAAATATTAGAGCTCAAATTTGGGATACTGCTGGACAAGAAAGATATCGTGCTATTACTAATGCTTATTATAGAGGAGCTTTAGGAGCTTTAGTTGTTTATGATATCACTAAAAAGACATCATTTGAGTCAGTTGAGAAATGGCTTGCTGAACTTCATGAAAATGCAGATAAAAAAGTAGTTCAAATGGTTATTGGTAATAAATGTGATTTAAGTCAAACAAGAGAAGTACAAACTACTGAAGGTGAAGAATTAGCTAAAAAAAATAATGCATTCTTTTTTGAAACATCAGCTTTAGATGGAAGTAATGTTGAAGAAGCTTTTATGACATTATTAAAAAAGATTTATGATGATTCAAGTAAGTCTGTTGATGGAGAACAAAGTAATACTAATGAAATTAAACCAGCAACTGAACCTATTGATCTTGGAAGTCAAAATAATAAACCAGAAGAAAAGAAATGTTGTTAAAATAAAAAGAAGGAACAGGAAATTGGGAATTATTTCCGTTGTTTTAATTTTATTTTCAACGTTCTTTATTTAATTTTTATTTTTAATAATAAATAAATAATTTATTATTAATTAAATAGAATTTATAAATAAAAGAATATGTATTATTTTTTATTATTATTTTCATATGTAAAATAAATAAATCGAAAGAATTAACTAACAAAAAATTTAATAATCGATTTAAATGAATATGTTTTATAAATCACTTTCTTCTTTTTGATTTAATACTTTCTTTGGTTGGTCAGGTAATAACTCCATTTGCATTATTTCTTCTATATCTTTCATAAATTTATTTGCTTCTTCATCACTAAATTGTGATGGATTTGGTACAACTGAATAAAATTCAACAAGACTTGTTGGTGGATAATTTACAATAACAATTTTTTCTTGTGGAGTAAAATTAAATTGTTTAAGATATTCAGCAAGTTTTAATAATCTACGTTTGTGATATAATGGTCGTGCAGTTTGTGTTTCATGTTCTCGATATACAAAATATTCAAAACTTGTTAAATCAATATTTTTTTTAACTTTATGATTTAGTAATGACATTAATTCAGCATTACTTAAAAGTCTATCTTCCACTTGTTGGTTTTGCATATAATATAATAAACTAGGTTTAATATTTTAGTTTTTTATTCTTTCTATAATTCTTCTTTGATTTTTTTTTTCTTTATGAATTTTTATTTTTCTAATATTATTTTTATTTCTATCTTCTTATATTCCTTTTTTTTTTTGAGATAATCAACCTTTATTCTTTTGCGTAAAATATTATCATCGTTTTATCCTCGCTTTTTAAAATGTCTTATTAAATTTATTGCTCCTTCTTGAGCACTTTTTTTTGTACATATAAAATTTTATTTTTTTCTTGTTTTGCTGGTATTGCAATGAAACAAATTCTAATCATGAGATAGGGAAATTGAATCGAACTAAAAAAATAAAAAGAACTATAAAAAAATAAGAAAGAATAATATTTTATAAACTATTTTAACTGATAAAAAAAGAGAAAAGTTAAATCGAATAACTAGAAAATAAACCACTTTTTACAGTTCATTTTATGGAAAAAGATTCGACTAAACATCGAAAGAAGAATAATAACGTTCCTTCTTCACAAGAAATTAAAAGTAAAGGAAAGAAAAATGAAACGTCTTTATCTTTTACACAACCAAATACACCTAAAGGAACATCAACAATTTATTCTTCATATTCAGAAGATAAATATGATTCACCAAGAATTACTGAAAGTTCATTAAATCCAAAAACATTTAAAGGAATTCCAAATGTAGTTGATAATTCAATTAAATATTTAAGAGATACATTAATACTAAATACTCTTTATCATCGTTCTATTGAACAATGGGATAATGAAGAAATCTATTCATTAAATTTTGTTCAAAATATACCAGCTTTAAAACAATTATTATCAACATTAAATAATCCAAAAACAATTTTACAATTTAATTATCAAGATTTTATAAATAATAAACTTAATATTTTTGAATCACAACGTGTAATTCATTATATTTCACAATTACGAATGCTTCCAAATATTTTTAGTTTGTTAATTTTATTTTTCTTTTTTACTTCTTTTTATTTAATATTTATTTTCATTTTAATTCTATTCATTTTAATTATTTAATTAGTTGTATTTTGATAATAATAAATTAGAACATTTAACTTCTTTAACATATTTTGATACTGCTGATATTAAATATGTTTTTAATTTATTACATCGATATAAAAATGGAAGTTCAATTAATCTTTATCAAGAAGCTAATCCATTTATAGTACTTATATTACTAAAATATTTTTTCTTATCGTTACCTCAATCATTCTTTTGTGATAAATTAATCATTGAACTACTAAGTCTTATAAATTCTTCTTCTACTGATAGCGAAATAAGTTCAACATCAAATAGAGGTATTCAATGTTATTCATGTTCTTCAGAACATACAAAAAGTTCAGATGAAACAACAAATTCAAATGATGCTGTTGGACTTCATGCATTATCACCAAAAAAAGGATGTAAAGAAAAAGAAATTAAAATGGTTTTAAAACAATATCTTGATATAGAAGAACAATTAATTTTTCAAGAAATTATTGAATTAATTATTGACATAAAAGAAGTATATGGAAATGAAGAAGGGAGTTATTGTACAAAATTTTTCTTCGATTGTTTTTCACCAGAATATTCATTTGAAGAACCAATTTATTCAGTAATTCCATCATTATATACAAAACATAAATATGAATCATTATTTTTATTTGATTCAGAAGATTCATATATTGGTGAAATAACAAAATGTATTTTTGATAATGTTAGATGTCCATTATCTGTTCTTAATGAACCATTAACATGTCAAGAAGTTACAATTCCAGGAAAGTTAGCAATAACAAATTATAGAATTATTTTTATTCCATCAGTAAATCTTGATGTTCAAAGAAAAGCAATACTTGGAAGGTTTTCTCAATGTCCATTAAATAATATCATTGAAAAAAAATTGATTGAAATTGAAGGACATTCAATAGAATATGCAATGAGAATTATAACAACAAACTATAGTATTCTAACATTTTTTTCATTTGATAATATATTTAAAATTATTGATAAAGTTATAGATGAAATTATTAATGAAGGAATACATTGTATCTTTGTTAATAGTAATTTAAAATATCCAGTCAATAATACTACTGATTGGAAAAATAGAATAAAGCGATACCATTGGGAAATATTTAAAATAAATGAAAATAATGATAAATTACCATTTAATGCACCATTAATAGAAACAAATATTAAATGTTCAGAAACAAATAGAGAAATTTATATTTGTTATCATATTATTAATACAGGAGCAAATTTATATAGATTAACTATTCCATTTATAAAAAATTTAAAAAATGAAATAACAGTTGATATAATAAATGATGAAAAAATCAAATGTGTTGAAGTTAATATTAGTGATTTAGAAACATTTGACAAAACATTTAATGACATATTAAATAATTTATCAAATAATAAAGATTCTTTAAATTATAGAATATTTATTGAAAAAGTTGGTAAAGTAAATACATTTGTGACACATTTTTTATTAATATGTGAAGAAATTATTTCTTTATTAAATAGAGGTAAAAGTGTATTATTAATTCCAAAAAATTTAAAAGAAAATGAAGTTGGATTATTTTCAGGATTTATTGAAATTATATTAGATCCTTATTTTAGAACTTTTAATGGATTTATAGAAATGATTCATTGTGAATTTTCTTCATTACACTTTGATTTTGAAATACAAAGAAATAGCTTTTGTTTCTTTTTTGTTTGTTTATTCTTATTATATAAAACGTATCCAACACAATTTGAATTTAATGAATCATTACTTCATTTCATTTTTTATCATTATAATTCAAGAGTCTTTAAAGATTTTAATCAAAATGATATGTCTTCATTACAAAGTTATATTCAATCACATTTAAATGATTTTAAAAATGAATTTTATGAAAGTACATTAGAGGTTATTCCTCTTCAATTTATAAAAGTTCATTTTTGTAATGAAATCTTTTGTCAAGTTCAAACATATAATCCTCAAACAGTTGCTAAATTACTTCAAAATTGTCGTACTGGAGATTTAAATTTGCAAGAAATGAATTTATTTTTCTTTCCAATTCATCCTTCATTTCCAGTATTAAATGGAATAACAAAATTAGATTTATCAAATAATAAAATAAATGATTTTCCAACTGAAATTGGTAAATTAACAGGACTTATTGAATTAAATCTTAGTCAAAATAAATTAATTATATTAAATGATATTGTTTCTAAATTAACATTATTAACATTATTAAATATTGCAAATAATAATCTTTCTTCTATTCCAAAATCTATTACAACATTAAATATTATTAATTTGGATATTAGTAATAATGATTTACAAAGACTAACTTCTGTTAATTTCCCAAGTTCTATTCAAAGACTATCATTAAGATCAAATTTCTTTTCTTCTTCTATTTCAAATTTACAATTAACTTATCTTGATATAAGTGAAACACATGGACTAGAACAAGGAGACTTTGCTTTATCATTACCAAAGTCATTAGTTGAACTAATTTTAAATAAGTGTTTTATTGAACATGTACCACTTTCAATATCTAAATTAACTAATTTAGAACGTCTTGATTTATCTATGAATGAAATTAGTAATCTTCATCCTTCTTTCTTTACAATGACCCAACTAAAACAATTAAATCTTAAAAAAAATCCAATCCCCCAAATATCAATTATGTTTACTAGACTAGTTTGTTTAACTAATTTACTTATTGATGATATAGTCTCTATTCCAACTGTAATGAAAGATATGTTTCCTGAAAGAGTAATTAAAGAGAAAGTAATAAAAAAAGTAAATGATGAAGAATTTCAAGTATTCTTAACTGGAGATATTTCTAAAAGTGAAATTTTATCTCTTTTAGCAAAGAAAAGTGGAAAAGAAATTGATGGTAGATCATTTCTTTTAGAAAAAAATATTATTGTGAGTGATATTCCTTGTGAAGTTATTGAAGAAAATCCATTTTTAATATTAAAAAATTCAGTTTTTGTTATTTGTAAACGAGTTACAAAAGCAAAAACAAATGCTGTTCCATTCTCTAGATTATTAAGCTTCTTTTCTTTTATTAGATTAAAACAACCAATAATTTGTGTTAGTGTTAGAGTAAATGAAGAAACATTATTAAAACAAGATGACTCAATTCAAGAAAAATTAAAAACAACATATCCAGAACTTAAAGTATCATTCACTTATTTTGATATTAATGGAAAAGATAAACAAATAAAAGATTTCTTAAAAGTTATTAAAAATGCTACTGAACAATGTAAAATAAATATTTCTCCATTAACGATTAAAGTTATTGATGAACTTAAATATATTGATACAATTCCTGGTATATTAGAAATGGATTATCTTAAAATGCTTATGGAATCATTATGTATTAATAATAGTCAATGTAAATTAATTATTGATACATTACAAACATTAAATCAAATTTTCTTGTATCCAGAAACATACTCAACTAAATTATCAAATTATACAATTCATATCTTGAATAAAAGACCACACAAAAATCATTTTGTTTTATTGTCTTATCAACTACCTGAAATTATTTATCAAATTTTATCAAAAAATGAAACTTCTATTGGAATTCAACTTCCTGACTTCTTTTTAAATGCAGAAATACCTCATTTAACATTAGAACAACAAGAATATATCTTAATTTTATTAGAATACTTTCAAATTATCTTTGTATTAAGAAAATCTTTCTTTGAACGTATTGGACTAGCTGATGAGTATGAACAACTTAATAGATGTGTTAATAATCCTAATCTAATGACTAAATATACTTCTCAATCAATGTCTAAAAGTACTAATGAAACTATTTTAAGTCAATCTACAAGATTACCATTTAATAATTCTACAAATTCACTGACTACGATTCCTCTTAAAAAATCTTCTTCTTTTAAAAAACATGGAAGAACACCAAGACTTCAATTACCAATAGAATCACTTAGTCCAACATCAGGCTCTCCATTTAGTAGGTCTCCAAGAGGTTCAAGAATAGAAGTTACAGATAAAAAGCAAACATTACCAAAAGTAATGATTTTAAATTATTATGGATTATCACCAAATATGGAAGATAAGTTATGGGAAGAATGCAAAAAAGATGAAGTTGAAATTGGAAGATGTTATAGATATAATTGTCTTCCAATTCAATTTTGTATGATGTTATACTCATTATTAACAGTTAAATATGCAGTTATTAGAGGATGGAGAGGTGGAATATTATGTAATATTACTATAGAAGAATCACATTATCAATTATTAGTAGAATGGGATCTTGACAAATTAAGAATATCATTTAGATTAAAAATAATTGTTAGTGGTGTTAATTCATTCCTCAGAACCAAAGACATTTGGCAAGAAATTAAAATATTACATGATATAACAATGAAATATTTTCCTCAAATTATATCAACTTGTGATGTTTTATGTCCACATTGCCTTACAAAATTAGTGAGCGTTGATAATTGTTATTGTATTTCTATGGATGAAATTGATGAAACATTACAATGTGGATTATTTGCAGATACATTTGGAGAACATTGTATAGCCTTTGCTTTAAATTGTTGGGATGTTTTAGTTAATATATTAGAAATGAAGAAAGAACCAATAAAAAAAGAGGATATTGAAATATTATCAACAATTACACATGGAAGTTCATCACAAATTAATTTATGTAAAGTAAAAGGATTTAATGAAAATGTTGTAGTAAAAGAAATGGAAATTGATTTAACAGGAATGTTAATGAATGGAGACGATTATGTATCATATTATATTGACCGAGTAGAAGATTTTCTTAGAGAATGTGAATTTCTTACATTCCCAGAAAGTCCGTATATAGCCAAAATTTATGGATATTGTTTAAATCCATTAAGTATTGTAATGGAATATTTTAATGGAGGTTCATTATTCCAATATATTTCAAAAAATCATAATATTCCATGGAAAGAAAGAATTCAAATAGCTATTTCTATTGCTAAAGGAATGACAGTATTTACTAATCAAAAATGTCCAGTAGTTCATCGAGATTTAAAATCACCAAATGTTATATTAAAAATCAACAAAGAAGGTAAAATAACCCAAGTTGCTATTACTGATTTTGGACAAAGTATTCCAACATTTGCAGAAAACTTTAAGTCATGTCATTGTGTAGAGTGCTTATACTGGTTAGCACCAGAAGTAATTGAAACATCAACGTTTGAATTAGAGAGTGATGTATATTCATATGGAATGATTTTATGGGAATTATCTACTCTATCAGCTCCATTTCCTCAGTTTAATTTTATGGAAGAAGTTCGTTCATTTATTATGAGTGGAAATCTTTTAGAAATACCACCATCCCCATATCCAGAGTTTGACAGTATTATTGCTGACTGTTGGAAAGTAGCTAAAGCAAGACCTTCGTTTGCTGCATTAGTAGTTAAATTAACAAAAATTTACAAGCAAATGTAATAAAAAAAATTAATTCAACGTCATTTCTTATTAAAACACTAATTAAGTAAGTTATTTAAATTATAAAAGAAACATTTTTTAATAAAAAGAATAGTTTGATTAACAAAAAGAATAATACGTTGAAAGTCTCCAACTAAAACAATTAGTACCAAATACTTTAATTGATGATGGAATAGACATTGTTTCAATATAATCACTATTTGAAAAACATCCTTTTCCAATTTTAGTTACTGAAGATGGAATACAAATTGAAGAAAGACTTGGTAATCCAGCAAAACAATACTTTTCTAATGAAGTAACAAAAGGTGGAATTATATTTCCATTTTTTAAACGATCATATTTAGTAAATTTAATAAAAGGAGTTTTTATTCCAGTTGATTCAAATAAAGGTTTTGTGAATAATGGTATTGAAAATTTAATTATTTTATTAGATGGATGAAAATCTAATTCATGTAATGATATACAATTAAAAAAGCAATTATTTCTTATTCGAGTTAATGAAGAAGGAAGATGAACTAAAGTTAATGAAGTACAATCTTGAAATAGTCGTTCATTTAAAGTATTAATACAATCAGGTATAATTAACGACTTCAATGACAAGCATTTTTCAAAACAACTATTTCCAATAAATGAAACTGATGATGGAATTATTATTGTTTTTAAAGAACTGCAACCATAAAAACAAAAAGCTCCTATTGAACCAAGAGTAGTTGGTAATTGAATTGAAGTAAGAAAATTACATAAATAACAACAAGAAATTGGAAGAGAATGAATTGAACTTGGAATAATTAAAGAGTGAAGAGAGTTTTCACATAAACAACGTGGACTAAGAATTTTAATAGACTCTGGTATATTAAGTGATTTTAATGAATAATTACCATAAGCATAATAACCAAGATAATTTGCTTGAATTGGAATTGTATCACCAAAATCATCTCTGTCATATAAAGAATATTCAATTCTTAAAAACTTTATTTTAATTCTATTTGTTTTATTTTCTTGAATAATTTTTAAATATGTTGAATATTCTATTTTACAGTCATAAATAATATTTTGTATTCCTTTAATTATGAGATCATCAATTGAATAAATAATTTGTGTTTGAAGATGTGGAAAATATTTTATCATTTTTAATGTTATTGGTATTGGATTATAATGGTATTTCTCTAATGTTAATTTATATTTAGAATTTACTAAAATAATATTAAAATAATCATGAATATTTTGAAAGTATTTTCCAACAATTAATATTGAATATCCATCAAGTTGTTTCATTTCAATTTCACTTTTTTTTTAGTTGTTTATTTTTATTTTAATTTAATTTCTTTAAAAATTAAAATTTTAAAAATACCCAAAATGAAACAATTTAATGCAATGTTTCTTCATCTTCATAATGAATGGTAACTACTGGCTTAATCAAATTTGATGGTTTGTTATGCATTGTTATTAAAGCTTCTTCTAATTTATCAAAACCTTCAAATCTATGAGTAATTAATTTAGAAACATCAATCCTTTTAAATTCTAATAAACTGGATAATTTTTCCATTCTTCTTCTTCCACCAGGTGTCATTCCACCTCTTATAGTTTTATTAGCCATTCCTAAACCCCATGGAAGTTTTGGAATTTCAATTGGATGTGTTAAATCAGTAAAGTAATTAACATTTCCAATATCTGCTCCTGGTTTTGCTATTTTAATTGCTTGGGAAAGAACTTCACTTGATCCTCCTGCAATAACAACCTTATCTACTCCTTTCATTAATGTAGCTTTCATTATTTGAGCTACTGGATCTCCATTTTTGTAATTAATAATATCTGTAGCTCCATATGCTTTTGCTACTTCACAACAATGTTCCCTTGATCCTACTGCAAAGATCCTTGACGCACCTCTTAATACACAACCAAGTACAGCCATTAATCCAACTGGTCCAATTCCAAAAACACATACAACATCTCCAAACTGGATATTGGCTAATTCTACTCCATAAAATCCTGTTGTTACCATATCTGATAACATAACCGCATCTTCATTTGATACTCCTTGTGGAACTAATGCCAAATTAGCGTCAGCTTCATTGACATTAAAATATTCTGCAAAAACTCCATCCTTTATATTGCCATATTTACACCCACTTAACATTCCATTTGAGTGTTGTGAAAATCCGTCTTGAGCAGCAGAAGATCCCCAGTCTGGTGTCACTGCAGGTACAATAACTTTATCTCCAACTTTAAATGTTTTAACTAATGACCCAACTTTGACTATCTGCCCAACTGCTTCATGCCCAAGTGTTATATTCTTTCTTTGTCCCAATACTCCATCCCAAACAGTATGACAATCAGATGTACATGGAGTTAGTACTAATGGTCTACAGATAACGTCTAATGGTCCACATTCTGGAATTGGTTTTTCTATCCAGCCAATCTTATTATTGTCAAGAACGCATAAACATTTCATTGTCTTTTCTTCACTCATCTGATAATTTGAATTTATTTTAATTCTTCAGTTTTTGAACTTATAGAAATATTCTTTCATCTAATTTTTTCTTATAAATTTTCTTTAATAAGAATGATAGCTTTTTTGTTACTTTTTATTTTTATCATTAATTATTTTTACACTTGGTATTATTTTCTCTTTTTCTATTCTATAAAATACTATAACTCTCTTCATATTTCAAAAGTAGATGTGGTTATGAACAAATCTTCAATCCAATTTTTTCTATGCTTATTTATCTTTGACTATGTTATTAAAAAAAAGTAGGGATGACAAATTAAAAATAACGAAAAGATTATTAAATTCAAATTAATTTTATTAATTATACATTAAAATATAAAAAAAAAATCATAAATTGAAACATAAGTGTATGTAAAAAGATATATAAACATATTTATTCAATGTTTTGAATAAGTTTGATTTAATATTCTTTGTTATTTTGGTTATCTTACTAATAAAGTAGATAATACAAATTTTATTTCTATTTAATTATTATGGTTATTCCTTTTTTTAAGAATATAAAACATTTATTATCAAATTCTAAATGATAAGAAACGATATATGTATAATATTGTTAATTTATTAAAATAGCAATAAATTAAATTATAACCATAATATAAAATATAATCAAGTTGATAAAAATTTAATATACAGTTGTAAATTAATACTTGGAAAAAGTAATGTAATTTTATCAATAAACTGGTTAATACATATTAATCCAATATGATTATTTAATTAACGAAGGCACATTTATACCTGAATAAAATCTATAACCAAAGTATCAATAAATTATATTAAAGCGTTAATGTTTTAGTAATCAAAGATTAATTCTGTGTTAATATATATTTATTCTAATTTATGTGTATCATTGAAATCATTTTTTATTAAAAAAAAAGTGTTGTACTGAATAAAATTACAGGGTAATAATTTTAAACTAAAATCCAACTGCTGACTTATCTATAGTTATTATTTTTTAAATAAATTACATAGAGAAAATCCATAAAAACTTTATATAAAA